CCTTAGAGGACTTTTAGTCCCAGGCTTTTTCCAAAAACCCTTCCCACTTGAGCCAGGTCGTCGTTTTTTTGGTTTTTTTTTTTGGTACCAGAGATCAAACTCAGGTCCTTGCACTTGCGCAGCAGGCGGCAAAACCACTGAGCTAAATCCCTGGTCCCCTCCATTTTATTTTTAACTCAGTTAAAAAAATAACCTTCAGAGCATTCCAGTTGGTTGTTTTTTTTTTTTAAACATTGGAGCTAGGCCTACCTCTAGGAGCCTAGAGAGAAGAAACAAAAAATGGCTGGAAGAAACACGATGCCCAGCATCTGGAGATCTAGGTCATTTCCATTTCCATACAATGCCTGTGTGATTTTTACCACCTCTTTGTAAGCTGCTTTCCTTACTGATCAAGGGTATAGGACGCTGCATTTTAAATTCCTTTCAGCTTTACCACTTCAGTTTGATGGTGGAAAAATGGGCCTTAGAGATCAGGAGGAGTTGAGGGTGACCATTCTGTGAAGAGATGGCTAAGGAGTGTCTTAACTATCTTCAAACATTTGAGTAACTGTTGCAGTAATTGTTTCCTGTGTCTCTAGTGTTGACAGAGTAAGAAGAAATTGTCTTGGGATGAAGCAAGGGAAAAGTTTGGTTTGATGTAGAGGACTTTTAGAGTATATTGCTGGTTAAATCCTGCGCTCAGAGTCCAGGAGAAATGGTAGAATCACCATAAGAAATAGGATAGACAGCATTTGCATATTGGGGCTTAAAGTAGACTTGACTGATACAGGCATTGACGTGGTAGTTCCCTGGCTTCGTAACAAGGAAGAGTTTTATGAATTTTATGAATGTGGAAATGTGTCAGTTTTCTGGTTAAGAGGATGTTCTTGTTTTTTCAATGAAGAATCTACAGGTTGGAGGTGCCCAGGATTGAAGGTCCATGAACACACCGATCCATTATACAAAGTGTTTCACTGGTCACTCTGATATATTTCTTAGCATTATTAAGCCTTCATATTACTTAAAGGCACCAGAAAAATCCATATTGATCCTGAATTTAATGACTAGTGAGTGAGCAACACGGTTAAATGCATAAGTGTTTATTGCACTGGTTAAAAGATAACAAACTTTTCACCAGTTAGCCAACATGGACTTAAAAACCATCTCTGAATGAAGTATATCTTTACTCCATTCCTACTACCACACAGTCCCACAGTTGACAAGTGGCTCACCACTGCCCCCTGCCTGAGGGTGCAGCTGTAAGTGCCAGCTTTATGCTTAGAATTTGTTTGGGGCCAGAACTCAGGCTGTGCCCCAGACCAGTGGTGACAAACTTTTGGTGTGTGTCACAGTGGCTGCTTGTATCACCGAAAGCTGTAAAAGGTCCCCCTGCTGCTTTGTTTCACAACACCCCTGCTTCCAAAAAGTAAAAATATAGTTGAGTCAAGACTTCTGTTTTAGTGATGTTGTTTGCTAATGTTGAATTGGTTTGTCAACAAATCCATGAATCCATGCAAGTGGCTCTAGAAAAGTTCCAAATAGTATCACTGGAGTGTTTGTTACTCTGAGAAAATGCCTTTAATAAGGACAACATTCAGCTGGTTCTGGTAGGTTGTTAGCTTCACTGTCTCTCTTACTCCCAACCCATCATAAATTCCAGCTGGCTTTTGCTATTAAATCTCAAATCTATCCCCTTCTAGCTGGAAGCCACCACCATTCCCTGCCTGGAATAAAGCACTTTCTTAACTTGCCTCTCTGCATCCTGTTTGACCCCCTGGACATTATTCTTCATGCAGTAGCCATTGGATCTTTAAAAAAATCTGATGTCACTTCCCTGTTTAAAACTGAGCAGTTGTCTCCCATTGCATTTACCACTGGAGCAGAATTCTTATTTCAGTTCCCAGGGCCTTCCTTCAAGGTTGTCTTCCCAGTACTAGCACAGTGGTGTAGGAATTAAAATACACATCTACATAGAGTAGGTAATGACTTGACCCCTTGTGCTCAGGTCTGTCACACAGCCTGGCTGCCCCTGCTGGAGGGAAGCTCCCTGCCACACTGGCAGGCCTGGGGAAACTGGCACCCACCAGGTTCTTAGAACCAGGTGTTGTGCAACCACATTAGTTTTCTTAGCCTGTCAACAGGAACCTGTGGTGAACATTTTGCTTCATTCTCTCGTCCTCAGCTCTAACATCTACTCACTTCCCTGTTCCAAACTCCTAGAAAGCTGCAGCAGTCATTTTGGCGGCTCATGGAGCAGAATGAGCTAATCACCTGGGCCCACCCTGGGCTGCTCATGCAGTCAGCTTCCTAGCACTTCTGATGGGGATGATGGGAACAAGAGCTGCTGCAGCAACCAGGGGTGGTGATGAGCTCCCTGTGTCCTCCTTCCTCCTCTTGCCAGTCCTCTTAAGACTTCATCTTTAATCCCAGACTGCTGTGTGCCTGGCAGGACAGAGCCCAGATTGTGCTGCTCCCAGCAGTATGTTGCCCACACTGGGGTAGGAGCTCAACCAAAATGTGTTGGGTGAGTGACGAGTTTGAGGTGAGCGTCTTCCTACTAAGTACCGCCACCAGAGAGCTATTCCTGAAAGTCATTCTGTGGTATAGACTGGCCATGATTAATTTGTTTACAGAACTGATAAAATATGCTTCATTTGAAATGAATCAGAATGCTTCTTGCTAGTGTTTTTTGAAGCTGCTCCTGTCAAGCATCAACAACTCTTAGAAAAGTGTGGTCAATTTGAGTTTTGAAAAAGTCAGGCAAGGATTCAACTGCTGTTTAGCTTTTTGTTACTTAGGACCACTACCAAATAAATTAGGACTTTATCATTATTACCAATAGTATTTCTATTACTTAAAATGGGATATACTATGCTTCAGTAACAGATGAACTTCAACAGTACTGTGGCTTAGCGGAGCACAGTTATTTAACACCTTGTCATGATCCTTAAACCATGGTGGACCAAGGTTGGAGCCAAGGTATTGAAAATGAAGGTAAGGCCCAGAAGGGGCTTACATCCCAGAACCCAGGGTCATGGTCCCAAACTGCCAGAGGGGTAGGATGTATCAAAGCCTGTGGATACTGGGTGGGCACTAGCAGCCTCTGCCACATTTATTACCTGTCAGCATTCATACTGGCTGCTACCTACAGACCAAACACTTTACACATCTTATTTATGTTCGCAAAAATCGAAAAGTTAGAGCCTCTGGCCCCTTTTCAGACTTGAGATTGAAGAAATTAACCTGAGGTTATGAGTGTCCATTGTGTAGGTAGCATCCTATCCAGCACTGTCCAAGCCCAATATAAAACAGCATCACCACTTCATGAGCATAGGTTCCTCTGGCTTGCCGATCGTTTGCCCTTGAGTCGTGTGCACTCGCAGCAATACACCTGCATTTCTTTAAGCATATTTGGTAAGAATTCATTTCACTCCCTTTAGTGCCCTACGAGTGAGGCAAAACTCCACCCACTGCTCTCTTCTGAACCTCTCTAGAAGTGAAGAATGGGTCTTGCAAACATTTGCATAGTGAAAGAATCAGAATTCAACTTTGGCTTCATAAGAATGTCACACTTCAGTCACCTGATCACCCCCAACTTCCCATTCCTTATAGACCCCTGTGACAAGTCGCAGCCAGCCCCCCAAATTAACACCACATGCACAAACCACTTCATGCTGACAGCACAAGTCTGAGACTTTTACTAGTTCGTGGGGCCTCATTAAAGGATGGGCTTTTTACCTTGTCTCTAATTACAAAAAAAGGTTTTATTCAGAGCCACCCCACCACCACCACACACACACGTACACAAACTTGAAATGCACATGCAGGATGTTGGGAGTGGGTTTTAGGGCCTTGGTTGTGTACTGTTTGGAAAAACCATTTCATTTTGTAAACACCTGATTCCATTCAGAGATCCTGTGGCCAGTGGCTCTCAACCTCGGGTAACTCTAGGAGCATTTAAAATCCTAACAGCCAGGCCATTGGCCAGACCATTCATTTACAAGTTCTGGGCATCAGCATTTTTTTAAAAGCGTCTCCAGTGATTCCCAGGTGTAGCTGATTTGAGAACCTCCACTGTAGACTTGATAATTTGTCAGACTTAGGAGGGGTGAGAGAGAAGCAAGGGAGAAAAACAAGACCTTCCATAATTATTTGTTAGCTTGACACTAGGGCACACTCCTTCAGGAATTCAAGTTAGCTACAGTCACCTTAATTTTTTTCTCCACAGCAAATATAGCCAACATGAATGTCACTTAATTATTGAAAACTGTACCCAAAGCTGGGTGATATAAGGCCCTGTAGCCTGGGATTGTTTTTGTAGCATTTTTTTTTCCCAAGTAGTGATCCTTTAACCTTTGTGCCAAGAGATTTTTTTTTATTAAGTCAAAATCCTATAAAGTTATTAATGACAGTATAATTGTAGAAAATGTCATTTGGAAAATAGGGCCAGGCGTGGTGGCACATACCTCTAATCCCAGCTAGTCAGGAGACTGGTGCAGGAGCATCCCACATTCAAGGCCAGCCTGGGCAACTGAAGACCCTGTCTCAAAAAATAAGGGCTGGGGATATAGCTCAGTCCTCCCTGGGTTCAATCCCCAGTACTGCAAAAAAAAAACAGATGACAGACAAGGCCATCAACCTTTTTAAGCTCTGAAAGAGAATGACTGAATGTTGTAAACATATATTACAAACAGGATTTTAAAAACTTACAAATTGAAAAGATTGCCTGATTAAATACAGTTAAAAGCTTGGAAACATGCTTACCAACTGATGTGGGGTTTTTGTTTTGAAAGGTATTGTCTCCAGCAGCCTGTGCCCTTCCTTACCTGGTTAGATGGTGAGAAAACTACGAGGTAGCTTGCTCTGCAGTTTCCCACTGGAGCTTTGTTTTCTTCCCACAAATCTTCATGCTGACAGGAGTTAGAAACTTGTAAAACCTGCACAGGGGATGTGGGGTGGAGTCCTTGGGACATTAGGCCAAGACTTTTGTTGTGACAGGATAAATACTACTCACAAGGCACTAAACTCAGATGATTTATTGCTTTAAGTAACTAAACAGGAGAAGAGGCAGGCTGCTCTTTCAGTCAAGACAATTGGCATTTTCTCTCCAAGGTTTGCCAGATGCATCTACTTAAAGCTTTAACAATACTTTCTAGACAGTATAAACACGTGATAGACACAGCATACACAGGTAACAAGTTGGCCGATGCTACACTGGCTGAAATAGCACACAACAGCCCAGGGCCCTGAAATGACAACAGTAACCTGTCTTCATAGGGTGTGCTGAATACAAAACCTTTAAAAAATTGTTTTGGCATTAATACTAACACAGGATACTTTCTTGAACATTCTGCAACAGCAGGTGCACACAGAATTAACCTCTTCATTTCCAGGTTACCAGTAGCTATAGGACTACTTTGAGAAAAGCTAAGTGGCTGGCCACCTCCCCCCTTGACATCATTTCTTTGCCAAAGCAGCAGGGTTTAGGTGGAGAAGGGCAGCTGACAGGGCTCCAGGGGTGGTTTAAAGTCACTGAGTGCTGCACAAAGCTGGGGATGGACACTGCCCCAGCAGGATGTATGAATGAACAACAGCTTTGTTGGGAGCCAAGGATGTCCATGGATTTGACCAAATGTGCCATGGATCTCCTGTGGGGCAGTAACAGGCACTGGATGGTCCAGATCTTCCCTTGAGAGGAGTGGTGGAGCCAGGGCTGGGCCTTCAGCCCTGAGGTCTAAAAGAGAAGTACCCTGACCTTGCATTCTAACACAGGGTCGTCACCACACCTTTTGAATGGATGCGCGGAAACCAACACTGTCAGGAACTGGCCCTGGGAGGGCCCAGGTGAGCTCACAAGGACAGGTTAAGCCAAGCCAAAGGGTAACAACACAAGGGCAAACCAGCTGCCGGCAGGATGCCTCGGGTTTGCCCACTTGTCTAGCTTCAGCACAAACTCAGTTTTCCCCTGTTGGAGTGGGCTCACCATCAGCTTCCTCGGCACACCCATTCCTGGGATCCTCTCCGGGATCCGAGTGCCTAGGGGCTGACGGAGCCCTGCTGCAAACAGCAGGCCCGTTCTGCACAGCCACGCCCTCCAGGGCCTTGCCACCTGGCTGGCTGGCAAGGGACAGCTTTTCTCCCCTGACCTCTTCCACAGGGAATCGCATCTCGGAGGCTCTGCCCTCCTGCGGCCTGCCCAGCACACAGTTTCCCACATCTCCATCTTTGGAAAACTGGTCTTCTAAATTCTTCTCATTTTCTTCCGCTTGTCGTTTGTCTCTGAGTTTACCTTTGGATTTCTTCATTTGCCTGCTGTGCGTTTCTTCTCGGGAGAAGCGCCAGTGGAACTAGAGATCAGAGAAAGTGGGGGTAAGTGCAGGCTCTGAACCCAGAGCTTCATCTGAGGCTTGTGTGCATTCGCTCCCCCATGTCTCTGAGCGAAACAATTCTCAGGATTCCTCCAGCAGCATTAGACTTGAATCACGGCCCTGCCCCATGCTTCCCTTGGCATGGATTCCAGATGTGGATTTTGGGGTGCTTGGGGCCAGAGAGTGTTCTGATGGGCCCCATGCTGAAGTGGGAAAGGGGGTCTTGAAATCCTATCTTTTGGAGGGCCAGGATAGGGGGAAAGATGGCAGGCTCCTGGTCCTGGGGGGGACTGGACTGCAACTGCTCACTTCCATCCTGAATCTGCTGGAGGGTACCCAGCTGTGGGCTGGCAATCTCTCCCCAGCTCCCTTGAATGAGGCAGGGCACAGTACGAGGGACAGACTGTCTGCTATGTTACCCAGTGGCAAAGGAATGGCAGCCTTCTTCCCCCAGCTGCCAGGATTGCTACTGGCTGACAGTTCTTTGACTTCTGGCCACCACCTTACCTAAAGTCTCTTCCCTCCTGGGGTAACCTATAGCCAGCAATCAGTTTGGGTGGCCCTATAACAGCTCATCTCCATGTCCTCACCCTGAAGGACCATTCCAGCTGCAGAGCCGTCTGAGGGGTTGTACTGTGTCAGCCTCGCTCCTGCAGATGTCCTCTTCAAGCTTCCTCTACCCTAATCTATCTCAGCAGTTGCTTCCCAGGGCACATGACGTTCAACCAAGTATCTCCCCATGTGACAGGAAGTCAGCAGAGGCTCAGAGCCCAAAGTCTCACAGCCAGTAATAGAGCTGAACAGGAATCCTGGTTTTATCAAAGCTATGGAGTGAGACTGCCTGGCAGAGGCCCAGCCCTGCCAATCACTGGCCAGATTCTCTGTCTCATTTCTCATCTCAGTGGCCCCCAGTACATACTGGGACTTTAGGTTTAAGTTTCCACCACGGTCGCTTCCTTCCGATTCATTTGCACCACACTGGTTACACCAAATACATACTTAAATCTTATTCTGTGATCGAAAGAAACAAAAGGAGTTCTTGAGATGCCATACAGGGCTGGGGAGGGATACCTAGGAATGCAGTTGCACCATCAGTGGGAAACCTGCCATATTGTAAATCATTCTGAGTGCTTTGCTAGGAAAGCCCGAAAATGTGCTATGTAAATATTCAAAGACCAGCCCACTTTTGCAGAGCTTTCCATGGAAGAGATCAGTTTCCTTGAACAAAACATTTGCCTAAACACCCACAAGGTGCTGAGGTTTAACACATCATGGGATTACAGGATTTTATACCTTCTGGACAAGACTGGCCAATTTGAATATTCCATCAGAGCAGAGAAAAAGTAGTTGAGATTAGGATTTGACATTTATCCTGTCTTTCCCTAACTTACCCTCCTGGAACTTAGCGTTTGACGTGTTTTCCTTTTGTCATTCATTTTTTGGAACACACTCATGCTACATAACTAGACTTCCCATGGGGATAGCTGGAGCTCCTTCCATCCACACTGTGTATCCCATGGTGGAATCACTCTACAGCATAAGTGGTACCTCTGACCCCTCTCATCTTACAGATATGGCCCCTTCAACCCCAACCACCTAGCAGGTATCTGAACTTCACAGCCCACCAGCAGATGACGCTGATTTCAGACCTCAGCGTGACAGCTGCTGCCTCCAGCATCACCCCTCACATGTCTCCAGCACCATGTTACTATGGCTTATAACCACTGCGTGGTGATACACAGCTGCCATGACCATTTCAATTCCAGCCCAAATGGAACAGCCTTTTTTTTTTTTTTTCCCAAAATAGTCTTCACATTTTATGTCATTGTACATGTTTTAGAGAAAAGTGTCAGTTTAGCCTGCCTTTATATATTCCTCTGAGAGGCAGCTATCTGGGAAAACAGAAGTTTTACTTTTGCCACAAGTAGTGTGACTGTTTTGGCTGAAGGGCCCTCACATGCTAAAATGTTACAGCGTTGTAATGTCTTCTAAGCCTCAAGTTCATACTCCAGTCCTGGTACTCCTTAGCTGCTGCTCCAAGGCCCGTCTGCATTGCGGCTGGTGTGAACAGCACCCTCTGCAGGTGAGCAGGGCACACTCCCAGACCTTGCCTGGACACCTGTCATTTTCTAAGATAAGCCCAGGTATTTTCTCAGGGGCTGCTCTTGCTAAAGAAACAGCAGCGCTTCTGCAGTTCCCTCTGGATGCCCAGCCACACAGTTTCCCATTCTCTGACCTCCGGATACAGCCTGTCAGGAACACAGACTGTGGCGAGGCCCAAACAAGCACATGGCCACTTTCTGCAGGGTCCTTCCCAGGCTGCTGGGAAGAGAAGGACTTGGAACTGCCAGTGTGAGCGGGGTAAGATTCATTCAGCCATTTGTTACCCTGTACAGTCACCACAGAAAAATCTACCAAACCAAACGTCACCTAGGACTACAGTGTTCTGTGTCCTCAGATGGGTCTGTGGGTGGCTCCTGACTCCTGGGGCCAGCTGGGCCCCCAGCTCACCACGAGCAGCACAGAGGCCATAGCCAGACCCAGACCCCCGGGAGGCCCTGACTTTTCTGCTTTGCAAGGGAGGCTCTTAGGACTCAGGGAAGGAGCAGTGGCCACATTCAGGGATGGCACCATCTGGAAGCCAAATGTTCAGAGTTGCTGCAAAGGCAGACTGACCAACCTGCCGAGGAAGACAGGAAACTGAGACACCTACTGTCTTACACTGTGACGGGGGTTCACATTTCCCTAAATTCCCAAAGGAACCTCCTCAATACACATTAGCACTGTTTTTATGGTGATCATATAGAGGCTAAGCAACTTGTCTTGACTCACACAGCCAGGAAATAGAGCCGGAATTCAGACTAATCTCTCCAGCTCTACCCTGGAAGCCTCTTTTTGGCAAAAGGCTTCAATCTTTTGCTCCAGAGGAGAGCCAGGAAAGGCCATACCTTTGGGGTGAATCAGCCCAAGATGTAAGTGCCTCTACCTTCAGGCTTTGAGGACAAAATGCATCTGCTAGGTCAAGTACTTGGCTCATTAAGGTTAGTGGCCAGCTAATGGAAATCCAGACTTAAGTGCCATTAAAGATAATTCGGTTCAGCTTATTAAAAAAAAATCTACACCGAAGGCTCCCTGAAGGGCCCATTTTTAAAAAAATCAGTTATGATAAAATTTGAATGGAGGGCCACAGGTGAGCCTGTGAAAAGACCTGAAGCATCAGCTAAGACCCTGGCTCTCAGCCCTGAGGGGGCATAAGGATCACCTGGAGGGCTGAGGCAGAGAGGCAGACTTGTCATTTTAACAGGTGATGCAGATTTTGCTGGCTCGTGGGCCACAGATTGAACACCACCTGGGCAGGTAACGCTGTGAGAGACACATCTGGGAAGAAATAACACCTCCCAGGGAAAGGTGCCCCCCCTCCCATTTTTACACTTGTCTCCCTTCACAGTGACTTCGCTTTCTCCTTTAAGCACAGGGCAGTGACAGTCTGTAACGAATAACAGAAACTGTTCTTAAGGCCCCAAAAGGAGACATCTCAGCAAGCAAGAAGAGGCTACCGTTGCAGCCTGTCTTTCCAGCTGAGCCTTTAAGGGGTGGTCTGGAGCATCCACACTTTTGAGTGCAAGTGGGCCTACTTAGAGAGGAATCCACTTTCTGAGCATCCATAGGGAGAGTCTCAGCACAGCCAACAAATGCCAGGATGACCAGCTGGGCTGAATCAGGGCCCCTCTGGGCCAGTGTTGATGGGGCTGTGGCACCAAGTCTAGGCAGCCACCCAGCTCAAACTGCATAAAAGAAAAAAAAATTCTTTACAGAAGTGTATATTCAGAGTTCAGTGTCAGCAAGGGCTAATGGGTTTAATTTGCACATTTTAACTCCTTTATGTGTCCAAGTAGTTTGCTGGAAGGAAGACTTCTCTGGTATAGAAATCAGCTATTCCTTTTGAAGGAGTCTAATGTTTGCTTTGAAAATCACACATACATGGCGATTTCTTTCAAATGCTGAACACTCAGAGAATTCTGTGTTGCCAATGAAGAGAGGACTGAAAATGCCACATCCTTGGGGTGCCTATCTTGCAATTTCTTAAGTTTCAATGCTAGACATGTGTTCCAGGCTCCAAAGTTTGAGTCATCATTCATTGATTCAACAGGTATTCGTTGAGCACCAGCTGAAACCCAGGTACTGGGCAAAGAATAGAGGGACAAAGTATTTGCTCGCTTGGAGCAAATATTGGACTCTACCAGGAGGGAACACACCAATGATCACAAATCCAGAGGGGCACTCTACAAGGAAGGGAGGCAGTTCTTTCCCAGTGTACTACAAAGGAGCCTGACATGGCCTCAAAGGAGAGAAAAGTGTCCTGGTGTTATGGTTTAGATCTAAAATGTCCCCCAAAACCTCAAGCGCTTACAGGTGGGGCTCTGGGGAGGTGATTTAATTAAAGGGCTTATAGCTGACTTGTTAGGCGGTGGAATCTGGTCAGAAAAGGTGGGTCACTGGGGGTGTGGCCTGGAAGGGCTGACCTTTTCCCTACTCTTCCCATCACCCTCTGTCTCTGCTTCCCACCATGCCATGAGCCTTTTCTGTCAGGTCGCCTGCCTTGGAGCTACCTGAATATGAACTGAAAACCTCTAGAAACTATGAGTCAAAAATAAACCTTTCCTCTTTTAAATTGTGTTGGGTGTTGTGTCTCACCAACGAGAAGACATCTAGAAAGATTATGCTTCTGTGGAGACAGAAGGGAACAGCCAAAGCAAGGGCCCTGTGGTCAGTGGGGCACAGAGGATCATGAAGGCAGATGTGCACAGAATGCAGAGTAGGGGCCTGGCTGAAGGCATGAGAGATGCCAGATCACACAGAGCCTTGTGGGCCGCAGTACAGATTCCTATCTTTAATATGAAGCTTCAGAACTGTTTTAAGCAGTGGAGTGATGTGATTCAATTTGCTTTTTAAAAAGGTCACTTTGGCTCTGCATAGAAAGCATATTCAAGGGGAAGCCCTGTTACTAGGAGACTAGAGTAGTTGGCAAGTGATGGTGGACAGAAGTGGAGGGATTCGAGTGTTTGGAAACTAAAACACACAGGTCTTAAGGACAGACTGAAGATAGGGAAGGAGAGGGGTGAATCAGGGATGGCCCTTGGGTGGGTGCTGTTCCTCTAGCTGGGGGGCAGATGGGCCAGGTATAAGGGGCAAAGTCACATGACTACTCTAAGATGGAGCAAGCAGCAGGACAGATGCAGCTGGAGTCTTGGGCAAAGAGCTGGCTGACAGTGCAAACCGAGTCAACACAGAGGTGCAAGTGACGCCCTGGGGATACAAGAGATTTTCTAAGGAAGAGCTAAGAGTGAGGGGAAATGAGGCGCCCTCTGAATCCTGAAAATCTTGACAGAAAATCAGGAGACGGCGGTAGCATGGGACTAAAAGAAAAAGCTGCAGCCCACACCGCCAGAGCTGTGGGAGCCCAGGCACCATGAGGACTAGGTGGAATCATGGATCATCCCAAGGGTCATCACTGGCAGTGTCATTGGGGGACACTGACTGGGGCAGCTGAGGCATGAATGACAGCAACAGAGAGACCCTGAGCATAGAGGATTCTTCCAAGAAGTCTGGCTGCAAAGTCAAAGCCCTCTCCATCAGTGAGGTGACCCGGAGGCCTTGCAGAGAACAAGTTCGTGGTACAGTCACCTGATCCTGGAATGATGCAGGAAGTAGGTATGTAAAGAAGAAAGGGTCTCCTTGTATTTATATAGCTGATTAAGATCAGAAGTTCTGATTAGGGAAAAAATGACCCTCATCCTCTTTTTCCCAAGGAAAGCCAGTTCTCTCTCCTTAGAGCAGCTTTAAAATATTTACCTCTCAAATCTTCTGCTAGCTCAAGTTGCTAGTGACTTGTTCCCCTCTGTGAGATGTCAGGGCCTTCCCACTAAAGTCAAGCTGCCCCAGAGGCAGGCAGCTGACAAGAAACGTAGTACCATCTCCCTCATTAGAGCCGAAGCCAGTTCCTTCCAGCGTCTGGTAGGAGACCTTGTGCCACTTATTGAATGTCACCTTCTATGAATGATGCCATCTCCATGAGCTCGTGATGGAGCAAGCAGCACCTGACAGTGGTCTGTGGCTATCCATCTTCCAGCCAGCAGCCAAATGCTCCTGGTGGTTAATGGTGGATCAGCAGCTGCCTTCTGGTCCACTGCTGCTGTCACCTGTCACGTTACAATCTCAAAGCCTGGATACGGATCTTCCTCTGCACCCCAGCCCATCTGGCTTTGTGTCTTCATTGCCTTGGCATCCCTTCCATGAGTGGGCCCCCCCTAGATTTGTTGGCTGGTGAGGGGCTACTCCAGTCTGTTTGCTTGCTGAGTGCTCCTGCTTAGGGTTTAGGGCTCTGTGTCCAAAGAACATGAGGAAGCTGCGCAAGCCCAAGGACCTGAGTTCGATCCCTGGTACCAAAGAAAAAAAAGTAAAGGGCCAGGGATTTAGCTCAGTGGTTCCACCACCTGCCTCGCAAGCATGAGGACCTGAGTTTGATCCCTGGTATCAAAAAAAAAAAAAAGCAAAGAACATGAGGAACTCAGAATGGGAACATGGGGATGGACCCAAGTGTGCAGAGCTGACCAGTTGGGGCAGATTTTTCTCAAGTGTGACCTTGGCCAGCAGACGAGCATGGTAAATCCGGCTGACCTAACGGGCTTTGGCGGGTTCACTCAATTCAACTCCTCTCTTCCCGAGCAACTGGTTAGTGTGACAAAAATACATGAGAAAATCAACCAAAAACAAGGAAAGTTCATTTTAGCTCACATTTTCAGAGGCTTCAGAGTTCATGGTCAGTTGGCTCCACTGCTTTGGGGCCTGTCACAAGGCAGCACATCATGGCAGTGAGCATCTGACAGAAGAGCCACTCAATAATCGCAGCCAGGAAAGGGGGAAGGAGAGAAGGAGACCAAGTCCCAATATCCCCTTCAAGGGCCCCAATGACCAACTTCCAAGAGGCTCTACTTTCTAAAGGTTCTACCATTTCCCAGCAGTGTAATCAGCTGAAAAAGCCTTCAATGTATGAGCCTTAGGAGGGATATTTAAGATCCAAACCATTAACATACAGGAAGAACACCCACAGGCTGCAAAGCATGGAATCCTCTGACACAAGGGAAGAACTGGAACTGGGCCTCAGGAAACATGGAGAAGGTTCTGGGAATGGCCAGGGTCTCTATGTGCAATTGTGCCTAGTTCTCTTTTTTTGGTACTGGGGATCGAACTTGGGTCCTTGCGCTTGCGCAGCAGGCGGTGAAACCACTGAGCTAAATCCCCGGCCCTGTGCCTAGTTCTTGAGAAGCCCAGTGAGAGAAAACAGACCTTGAGGATCCCTGAGTACAACCTTGCCTGAGGACTTACTGCCACAGGCCATGGCTGGCCTCTGCCCACATCACCAGCTGTCATTCTAAGGCCTTTGAGTTGGACTGCTCTGACAAGATCCCTCGCCAAGATCAGCAGACTTCTGATTCCTGAGGAATCAGGCCAGAGCTCCAACCAGCCTGGAGTGAGATTATACAGGGAAGCTGGCTATGAGCTTAAGCCATTCCCAGCCCTGGTCAGACTGCAGCTTACTTTGTGCTCCTATTTTGGGACTTGTGGGACTATCTGGCAAGTGCAAGTGTCTAGAGGAGCCTCTGCCCTCCGCCTTCCCAGCCTAGCCAGCAGGAGCCCAGAACAGCCCACCAGCCCCTTCGGCTGCCCTATTTTAGCAGTGTGCTAAGGGGCTCAGGTGTTTCTTTGGCTCTGAGAGCCCTTGTAAAAGTTGGAGCAAGCTGCCCACCCAACTGCTACAGAAAATCCATTAGTCGACAAAGCCCTGCTGAGGAAAAACAGTAAGGCAATCAAGGTCTCTTACCTTTGATTCCTTCTTCCTGATTTTCTGAGGTAGACATGGTCTCTGAAGAAAGACAATCTGCTTGGTGGATACACTCCCCTCCCTACAACACACAGAGCTGAGTGAGGCATGGTGTACCTAGAAGCACCCAAAACCCGACCCACACATTGGAGTCCCTAACTCCATTAAAGGAAAAGGAAAGCTGCCACCAAACTATGAGAGGAAGTCAAGAAGTGTCCCCACTCCACCCTCCCACCACCAGGCCCACGGGGCTATTTTAGATGCCCAGCAAAGGTTTTTTGGCTGTCCTTGCAGTCAGTCAGCTTCCTTGCTGCTAGTTCCATTTCCTTGGACCGGCCATGAGGGAGCAGCTGGTGGCTTAGCCAAATGAGGACATACTAGCTGCTTCAGTGAGTCTCCAAGGGGCGGGGCATCTTCCAAGTCCATCTTTGGTAATGGTGGCTGGGACAGACAGGCGGGCATAGGGCATGGCTGGCACTGGGGTCCTCCATGGCACAGCTTCTACAGGGATGCTAATGCCAGTGGGCAGTGAGATGGTGCCCGCTAATCAGCCATGACCCACATTAACAGAAGAAGTGAGGGGCAGCTCACTTGCTATGATACAGTGAAGCCAGGACACGATGGAGCTGCCCTTAAAGATGACAGAAGTAGCATAAGGAAAGTATTCTCCTACTTCTACCTTTCTGATTGCTTTCTGAGAAAGGTGGCAGAAAGCATTTGCTTGGCACCTGTTTTGTGCCAGGAGCCAGGGCTGGTGATTTCACCCATAAGGGCTCCTTTAAGCCTCACCAAGATGCTCTGAGGCTGCCGACTACTTTTACATGGAAATGAATTCAAGAACAGGTTCCAGCTACATGGGCAAGAGGAAAATGTAGATCTGCCTGGTCCGGATCCCTCTCTCCATTCCACCCTAAGGAGGGGGAAAGTAGAGGGTCGAGCAGGACGCTCTGGGCTTGGCTCAGGACCAGCTGGGACTTTGTGTTCAAATTCACTATTATTGTGGTTCTTGTCCTCCAGAAACTGACTCAGAGAAGCTGCATGACTTGACCAAGATGACACAGTTAGGAAGTGGCAAACTCAGGGGCCACAAATCCAGGATGCTCTCTGCTCCACTGCTTTGCCCTGTGCCTGTAGGAATCTTAGATGAAAAATAATATGGTGGCTCCCAGTGGCCAGACCAGACTGTCAGGACCCACAGTCAGGAGAGAGTTGTGCTGATGGCCCAGAGGGGGGACCCCAGAAAAGTATCGGTCATCACCACTGGTCTCCACCCTCAGTCATCTCAGGGTCACCAGCCCTCTCTCACAGTCTATCACCTGCAGTGGTGAGCATGCCGTGGGTGTTGGGGTGTTCGCTTAAGTGGTAAGGCACCAGCCTCACAGGTCTGTCGCAGCATTAAGTAAAGTTATCCACATGGAGTGTGTCTCAGGAACAGTGCCTAGCACAGAGTTAAGTGTCTGATACTAATACCTAGTGTTACTGTTACCTGGTCGTCTTGATGACAGGAGTTGGCACCACACAGGTAAGTTGCCAGCCATAGGCTGCCAGAGAGTTCAGCAGAGGCACATAGTCTGTCTGCACCTCCACACCCTGCAGAATAAAAGCCACAGTTAGCGTTGCTGCCACCTCAGGCCAGCATCCCAGCAATGGTGGGCTGTTCCATCTACCAGCCCAACACAGCAGAGAAGACTCAGGGCACTCCAATTCATGCCAGACTGCCAACCTGGGGTTTCTTTATGGGCCCCTGGCACAGTTTGTAGTCTTCAAGGAATTAAGAGCCAAAAGATTAATCCATTAATTTTGTTTTATTTTTGTCTGGACAGTCTCCTGTGAGTTTCACTGAAACACAGTTACCTTGCCTCAAAGACATGCTGAGGCATGATAACACACAGTGATCTGGATGATCTCAGAGCATGTCACGGGGAGTAAAATTACACTTGACAAATGATCGAGTCATTTGCATCCAGCCACAGCAGTGATGCATGTGCACGCACACATGCACACATGGAGACACCTGTGTCACACACTTTGCCATCCAGGGATAACCCAATGTTACCCATGCTCAATTTCATATCAGGAGCCAGGGGACTAACACTTGTATTTCTATTTAAAAACAGCCAGGGCCATGGATTTAGCTCAGTGGTACCACCACCTGCTTCGCAAGCGCAAGGTCCTCAGTTCGATCCCAGGTACCAAAGAAAAAAAAACAAAACAGCCCTGTTTGCACAAGAAAACAAGCCTACTGTGTGGTCACTGCACTGGGGGACTCGCTGCGGGGGTATCCTCTCTACACAGGTCCCATGTCCTTACTCCGCATTCCTCACCAGGATGAACATGCTTCCCAACTCATTTATACGCTGGACTCCGAATCTCCATTAGTTGGCTTCTTCTCGATGGCTTTGGACAACCTCAAATATGTATGCAGAGTTGTTCCAACTGACGTGCCCACACAGACTCTTTCTGCTAGTGTTTTGGAGCTGTAGCGGGTGCAAAGGAGAACAGTGACAGTCCTGCTCCTGGAGTTCACAGAACTCAAAGATGTGTGCCACCACAGTGAAATGGTCTGTTGTCAGGGCCACCAGGCTTCAAATGGCAGCAAAAAAGGAAGGGATCCTGGCCATGGTCCAAGCAGACTTCCTGGGCATGTGCAGACTGCAAGGCAGATGTGAGCCTGAGCCCCGTGCACCAACCAGGGTGTGCTTCACTTGCAGGCACTGGGTGTGACACAGCTGGAGCACTGTGCCTGGGAGGGCCTGGCCCTAGTGACTATCCTCCGGGGTGGCAGAGCTGGCCTGCTTGTGGCCTTTGGGGAACAAAACCACCTCATCCAGCTGCCCTGGGCTGGAGAGCCAGAAAAGGGGATGGAACAGCCTGTCAGGCCTCTTCATCTGGCTTTTAAAGTGTCCCCAACTGGGCACCAAACCTGTGTGGTACCACGTCACCAGGACCCTTGGCATCTCATTTTGTTTTGGGAGCCTCAGTTTCTCAACTGTATAAAATAAGTGTTGGCTCGTCCTGGACCCAGCAGCATGGGCCTTACCTGGGACACTGTGAACAATACAGATTCTAATCCCAGGCCAGATCTCCCGAACCAGGAAGTCTGGGAGAGGGTGCTGGAATCTGTGCTCTAAAGAGCCTCTCTGTAGTTCATCTAAGCAGAGCATCACTGCTAGACAGGCTCTCAGGTCTCTTCTGGCAAAAGTAGAGCCTGCGGTTCTGTGGCCAGAAGCCATCAACTGTCACCTCCAGTGTAACCTTTCCCATTCTCCATGTAACAACAACAAAAAAATAGATGGATGTTTACAGGATCAACTGTGTCTGTGAGAAATACTGCCAGTGGCAGGGAATGCGGGGCACAGGGGAAAGGGAGAGAGGGAAGAAGAAAAACTGGTAAAGGAAAAGGGAAGGGACCTAGAGAAGGGAGGAAAGGAGCAAGGAACAATCTGATCAATTGGGAGGCCTGGCAGAGGATGCACTTGTGGCCCCTCCGGAAGCCGAAATCAGGCCAGAGAAGGCTCAGCAGCTGGCTCAGTGGGCCTCTGGGCACATGGGCATCTCCTTTCCAGCCTGGCCCTCACACAGGCTGAAGAAGAGTCCTGTGGCTATTGTATCCAGAGATGCCCTGCCCCCATCTGTGTTCCCAGTTTAAAGAGAGGAGGGGGAAAGAGAAATTTAAATCCACTGTCTCCAGCTTTGCGAGGTTATGATTACTTGAGCCTATCAAGAATATTTCCCACTTTATCAAGCACTGTGACAAACCTGCCACAATCAGACAGTAGCCATAGCAACCAGGACAAGCTTTTGCGCCTCACAAAGCCCTGAGTGGCAGAATGGAGTCCTTTTATTGGTGGCTATACCCTGGCCGGGTTTTCTCTGCATGTGCCAGAGCTGCAAGACAATGACCGACCCCTGCTGCACCCGACCCGACCCAACCCGCCTGCTCAGACAGGCCTCACCAGGGCAGCTTCTATTCTACCCCATGTTATTTCATTTTGTCACTATCTCAAAGAGAAAAACAGCAGGATTTCTCCCCAACATTCCCCCCTCCCCGCCTTAGGGTAGGAGATGTCAGCCAGAGGTGCCAAATCATAAAGACCAAAAGGAAAAGGGAAAACAAAACATAAGGGGTGTTTGGGCAGTTCAATCTTAAGTGCTAATTTCTGGCCGCCAATCACTGGTGAGTTGATGAGCAAAACACAAGTGGGAGTGAGGTGTCACACTCTAACAGGCTCTCCCACTTCAACTGTTTGGGACGCTCTTGATTTAATTAATGTTAATTGTGGTTTTGTTAAGTATCCATCGAAGTCTGTTTGCATATTATCAATGCAGTAAGAAGATGGCATTTCTAAAACATGGGATGAGCTCCACGCAGGCAGTGAAAGACACTTTTAAGTCCATTAGCTAAGAAGGGTGGTAGGAAACAGATCGGGATGGAAGGCTCTCTTTGATCTGCTTTTTTGTGACACTCTAGTGAGAAGAGAAGAAAGCACGAACAGCACTCAAAAGCCAGCCTGCTTATCAAATGAAAAGACATTTCTTTCTGTGAGTTGGAGCAAAAATTTTAATTAACTCTCCACTCTCCTGTGGTGGATACATAATCTCCCATCACACCTGGAGTGTTAAAAAAAAAAAGTGGAGCATGTCCTGTGGTTTTTCAACTCGTATAAAAGGAATTCATTTGTATTTATGGTTCTTTTCCCCATTGTTCCCTATAATTTCTCTTGTGGTTGCAAATCAACTAAAGAAAGACATCCAATACAACCTTCCCTTACCCTCCAAAAATTACGACAACATAATATACAGCAGTTTGAAAGAAAATACTTTGCTTCTTGTACATGGCTGTAAATATATGACTGTAAATGAAGACAGGAATTAAACTTCCCTTGCCAAAAGGTGCTGGGCACCAAGTCTTAAAGACAGTTTTCACACCCAGAACAGTGAAGAGCACTCTGCTTCGGTTCCGGACATCCACAGGGCAGAGGAAGCCCTTACTTCCACCAAGATGACGTGGAAAGGAAGAGCACTGGAAAGCCTGCATCTTTTGTAAAACTGCTACCAAAACACTAACGTCCAACTTACTTGGATGTTACTGTCTTACTGTCAGGATACATTTCTACTACTACTACTTTACTGATCAATTTTAGGTATCTTTTTATTTCCCGCTACGGGAAATACCGGAGTACTGTTCCTATACATATGTCTCATTTCTTTCTTTGTGTCCCCGAGTGGTTATTATATAATTTTAATTAAATGGCAAATCTGTTTTCATTCTTACAACTTTATAAATATTGCTCAGTGCTCTATTTCATGCCATGAGTAACTATCCCATGAGCCTGAATATGTAAGTCCCACATTTTTCCACTGGAAACCTTATTTCTGAAGCTCTATGAACACGTGCTCAAATCTGGTCTGGCTTCTTTCCATGCCTAGGCTCTCCCTCACACTGGCATCTATGACTAGTGTGTTTTCTTTTTTTGGTTTCTTCTAATTTTTCTGGAATACATCCTTCAGTGGCTCCCTAGAAAACAATCTCTTAAAAGTCAGTTGAATCTCTGCATTTTTAAAGATACTTCTGTCTTCACTTTAAAAGTCTGAGTAAAGAAATCTGGGCTGAAATCTATTTTTCCATTAAAATTTTGAAAGTACTGCTGCACTAGCTTCTACATGTTTCCTAGGATGGTCTTATTACTATATTAATCCTTTGAATGAATCCTGTAATGCTTTGGAAGTTTTTAGAATTTTTTTTGAGACATTCCAGAAATTCAAAATATGCCTTAGTGCAGGTCTTATTTACTCAAAGACTGTATACTTGATGGGCATGCAGTGTGAAGATTCTTATCCTTTAGTTCTGTAAAGTGGTTTGGGGTTTTTGGTTTATTATTTGTTTCACTTGAGAACTTTTCTCCCTTTCATTTGCTGTCTTCTTTCTCTTCATCTCCTTTTCCTATTAGTCCAAATATGGTATTAATCTTTTAATTTTAATACCTTTTCCCCATTTTCTTTTCTTCATTTTACCATCTGAGAGATTTCTTTCCAGCCTTTTTATTATGTTTTTACATTTTCTGCTGATATATTTTTAACACCGCAATGCTCTTATGTTTTTGTTCTTTTTTTATAGCATCCTGGCTTTCTTTCATGAATACATACATTTTACCTCTTTAAGCAGTTCCTTCTGCTCCCTGCATTACCTTCAGTTACCAGGCTGCATGTGAGAACTCGGGATCTTACCACGTCCTGTTAGAACTTTAAACCAATTTCCTGACTTTCAGTTCTGCACTTCACCACTTCCTCTGTCCCCTGAAGATTTGGGCTTTGAAGACCAGAGCTTTTCTTGAGTTCTGCAGCAGAAAACAATGGCTCCCTTCTCATCCAGGTGTCAGTGTCCTCCACTTTGCTGAACCAGTTAGATTTTCTATCTGCTTTCCTTCTTCTAAAAATCTGTTCCTTCTTCTAAAAGTCACTTGTCTCTACTTTCTCTTCTACTCTCTTCGTTCCCTTGGGTATCTGTCTCTCCAGGGTTGATCCTCACTATTCTTGGTAGTTATGTTTTATAAACCCATCATGAATACTGAATTAGTGAATATTGAATC